AGCCTATAGAGCTTTTCTGCTGAAATTCTATCTAGGACTACACAAGGAGAGCTGACAAACACCTTCCTCACTGGAGTCTGTGCACCCTTTAGATAAACTGCTGTGTCTCATAGATTAATCAAGTAGTTGGAAGAAGCTCTGCCAGCTTGCCTGGGAAGCCACACACTGTGCTAACTTGGGGATACCTTAATAAACAATACGATTCACTTTGGATTTGTAAAATACAAACACTTTAGACTTAAACATTTTGGAGGAAACCAAAATGAAAAAACCGTGAAATTAATTTAGCAATTGTTCCAGCTTGGATTACTTTCCCATGCCTACATGCATGCACACATACATGTGCACACAAAATATTCACCAGAGTTCAAGCAATGTACTGATTTTTAGGAACTGTGACTTTTCAGGTTTTCTGCACTACTTAGCACACATCAAAGAGAGATCTGACACATAAAAGTGACACTAAACCATTCTTTGTACGTGGCAGTTCAGTGCAACAGTGAGAATCAACCCCACAGGTAAAATATCACGGGATCAATTCAAAGGATTTCCAGCTCAGCCACAGCAGGCATTACTGTGGCTTGTTCTCAGAAAGCTCAGCTGGTAGCTGATGTCTTCTCAGTCCCCTCTCAGGCAAACCAGCTCTGAAGCTGGTGATCTTGTGATACAAATATCCACAAATGTGAAAAGGCTGAGTGATGATAATGACAACGAAGAATAGAATTGTTCATTCTGTTTTTTACAAATACTTATTTCTCTGAAAACATTCATTACTTGAGGACATGCAGATCAATAAATCAGTAAATAAATGTATAGAAAGATAAAAATACCAGGCAAAGTGTTACATCTTTATTAGGAGAAGAGAACGTTCATACTGAATTACCTGGGATATAGCACATGAGCAGGAACTTGAAACTTCACACTACTGCTGGGGTCTGTCATTTTCAATACCATTGTCTCCGGTGTTGTTCAAAACAGAAATACAGTGTTGCTGTTTATTTGCTAAAGGCCCCAGCTTACACTGATAAGCACCACTAACATCTTCCAAAATGCTTCTTGAACTATTAAGTACAGACTAAATTTTGTAATTTTGTAATTATCTTGCTGTCCTGCTTGCTGCCTGCGTGTGATCGCCAATCCTTGCTGTGCCAACTACAGCAGATGACACTTTGGAAAACTTAATTTCTATCCAGTTTTATAGAATATTTTGATTTGCAAAGCAGGGAAACCAATAGCATGTAGCTGCTCAGTTCTTGCTCATCCAGCAGTAGCTCTGTATCAGTTCTGGATTTCTCTGTCAAAAACCAGTTTTCATCCTAGGACATGCTTGTATGTGGAAAGAAAAAGAAGGTGTAAAGAATGAGGAAAAGTGAAGGGGAAAACTAAACCAACCTTCCTCTTCCACTCCGGAGGACAGTGAGGCCAGCTACAGAGGATACCGCAGAACCATTTTTCTGTACTTTCTTATGCAAGTTTTGGAAAGAAGTGGTTACAGGAGAGACAGAAGGGAAGATGTCTGTGGCTCTGAATTTAACAAGGAAATTCTGGAGGGACTTCAAGAGATCCCCATATAATACAGATGTCATCTGTGCAATCCCATTCCAATTATTGCAGAGGCTGATGGAATTTCTAGAGGCTATCTGCTTGGAAGGAGGGCATATTAAATCAGTTACAGTGGGTGAGACCAGCTAGGACAGCAACACAGTGAATGGGGTGGTTTTCTCTCGAGGGTGTATGTGGGGGGTATGTGTCTGTGGGTGGTTATAAATTGCTTTGCAGAGTATTTCATATCATAGAGCATGTGTTGAGCTTTTGACTCTCAAAATAACAAGGCCAACCCTCTCAAACAACTTAGAAACCTGTGGCACAGAAGTGATAAGTCAGCTCAGAGGAGTGGGGTAGGGATCACAAGAAAGGAAAGATGTCTGCATGTGGAGAAGCTGAAAACCACCAACTCTCTCAAACAATAATTTCTCTCCTGCTGGGTTACAGCAAGGAACCTAAAAAGCCAAGATTTGGAAAAGAAAGGAATTCAAAAGCAGGGAAATCCAGACAGTGCTACAGATGTTAACAAAATATGTTCCAAAAAGCAAAGAAATGTGAAATGCTGTTCTTTTACTTTCCTGGCCAACAGTCTATGCTAGGGAACACACCTGTGGAACAAGCAGAGGTAACTTTCTGCAGTTGTGTGCAGGCTGCCTGTCTGGCTGCGAGGCACCTCTTCCCCAGGCATCAGCCTGGCTTCTTCAGAAGTCAGTGCCAGGCCAGACAGACATCTATGGGATCACCTATGGGATCAAAGCAACTGAGTTTCTCCTGGAAATACTGCAGAGAGACATCCAACATACTGTGTCTAGCACATGGCACACCCTTAAAGTTTGTCCTGCAAACTACAACAACCGATGTATGAGACTTGCACGGATCTGAAATGATGGGGAATCACCTGTGTGTCCCACAGGAATGGTCCCACTATGGACACCCCATACTTACCTTCCAGTGTCTCACAGTGTTTCAAAGCGCAATTTGATGGCAAACTCAATTGCTTCCTTCAGTTCAGATCTGTCTTGTCACAGACACAGTAGCATCATCCCATTTGTTCCTTGGTGAAATCATGAAACACAGATATTTATGCCTTAAGATTTTCTGAAAAACTGATATTTTAGCAGCCATAAATTATAAAGACAGTTATGCCTTTGCAAACTACTCCCAGCAAAACTGGATGGACTCTGTAATTACTTCTTGTAATCCCAAACATGCAGATCAAGATTATCTATTGAAATGCCAGGCATAAGTTATTCATTAACTAAAACCATTCTGTAATTTTATTGATATATTTTGTGGAGTTCACATATTTTTGTACAGCAAACATAACACTGTAGGCCACAAGAAGCTGCAGCACTATTGTTTAATAGCAGCAAGGTATATTTTATAATCAGGGTATGTGGACAATAAATAGTCTGTTTCTTTGGATGTGAATGTTTAAAATGAAGTTCTGCTGCAGCTTCATAACGTGATTGCTATTTTACAGAGCTTATACACAAAAATATATATGCAATCTTTTTGTCTATATTTTATACAAATACAACAGTAGTTTGTGAATACATTTTAAAGTACATATACATGATAAGCAACTCAATTTCCCATATCACAGGATAGCAAATTTTAAATGCAAGAAACATATACAAATTCAGTCTGGAATGCAGGGTTTTCTGTGTTCTTTTTTTTTTCTCTATTTTTTTCCGACTCAAAACTTTTATCATTAAAAACATTTTAGCGTACAAGTCCAAACAATTTTTCCACTAGCTAAAAATATAATTTCAGCAATCTGAGTCAGGTTTGGGTGTGACATCATTCACCAATATACTCTTCCCAGTTTTTGTCTAAGGCTTTTAGTAACATATAGTATGTTCTTCACTCCACACCATACAAAAAGCCCGCATTTAACATTAACTAGCAGTCACCTATTTTTGTGAACAAGAGCTGGGCTTGTCAGCGTTTAAATTTGCATGTCCAAAATTTTACTTTTGCAAGTGCATATGAATACATTGTGGTGTTGCACAAAAGTTCATTAATGACAAATTAAGTCACAGTATAAAAATATATCATACAACTATAGGTCTAGTATAGTCCTTTTTTTTTCTATGGGTAAAAATACATCTGAATGAGACAGGGAGGTTTGTAGCACCATGAGAGGAGTTGTATCCCAAGTTACATTAGCAGCATGATCCAATATAACAATATTGCAGGAGTGTTTCTGAGGAGATAAACATTCACTCTGGTTCAACTGTACCACTGAAGCTTATACTGAAAAGTGTTTACATATGATTAGCAATAGTTCTGTGTCACTTCCAGGGCTAGATAACTGTTATCAAAAGACACTGCCTTCCAACAAAAGTAAGACACCCTTATTGCATAAAAGCTTTGGGACTACCCAAACACATTTTGAACTACTGTGGCATTACTTGTAAGTTGAGCATGATGCTAAGTAAGCTGTGGTTTAAACTGTACACTGGGGGGAAGCAGGACAGGCAGCTAAGCCTATAATGGTTTACTACATACCAGATAAGTACATATATTTCAGAGGCTTATCTATAGACTGAGAAGAATACAGGAGAAGCTGCTAAACCAGTGTATGAGACAGACATAACAAAGGATGCAGGATCCCCATAGCATTTACAGATGCAGGATCAGGCCTAAAGTTAACTTCAGACAGCAGCATAGCGATGATAGGATGTGATAAAAAAAATCTGTATCAAATACTGCATGTTCAATATTTTTGACAAAGTTTACCATCAAGAACTCCAGAAGACAGTTTGCAAATGGTGAGGACAAACTCCTAATTGTTTTTGACTGGTATTTAAAATGGCAGTAGAAGACAGTGTAGTTTGAAACATGTAAACCTAGTAAAAACCATTGTAAAACCCTTAAGAAAGACACACTGGTTCTGTGCAATATAGCAAATTGATAAGAAAACACTGTAAAAATGTACCTGTTTAAAATTACAATGTCTACCATTTTGTACACAAAGCATTATACCAAAGGCCTACATATATGTAATCTAATGGCACTTGAAACAAATTATAATAAAAGGTTTTATAATAAAAAGCATAACCTGTAAGAAATTTTCTTAAAAGGTTTAGGTTTTCTTTTTGAAAGTGCTATATCTTGTAATATGTGTAACATAGAGGTTGACCAAGCTTTATTTTAAAAAATATTGGCCTATAATACAAGTTTAGCTCACTAGGCAAATGATCCTGAAAATATGTACTCTTAACATTCATTATTAGCTTAATAAAGCAATCAGCTCTGGCTCATGTTTCAGTCAGTATATGGTTTTTAAAAACCGCTACTGCCAAATTAACAATAAATCACTCTATTCCACAATTTACTACTAAATAAAGCACAAGCAACAAGTACACAAATATATATATTTAAAAAAAAAAAACCAACAACAAAACAACCTTACTAGAAGTTTAGAAGTTGCACAAAGAGTGGTGCATGATCAGCCAGCCCTCCCCCCTCCCACCAAGAATCCATGGGAAATCAAGAAAACGGGTTTTAAAAACGGATGGTTTAGTAGTGGCCAATAGTGACTCTGCCTAAGTGATGCTCAAAAGCACTCTGGTGGTGTTGGTATTGCTTTAAGGGTCAGTCTGCTTCCTTGTTACCCTACATCCTAGTTCAGCTGCAAACACTCTGGGTGCAGCCACCCACTGAAACCCTGACTGAATGAGGTTCAATATCTTGTCTGAGGTCTCTATTTCTCAAGTGAAATGTATATCTAACTCCAAGTGAAATGTCAATCCCTTTTCAGGAAGCTAAGGCACAAACAAGGTAGTAAGGGTTCTGGCTACGCACTAAGAAACGGGTGTTGGCAAAGTGTCTGCGGGTTTTGGTTTTCACAAAGTCTTTCAGCAGCTGGGGCTGATAACAAGTGGCTCCAGACTGGAAATTCGTGTGCCAGCTGCCCAGGGAGGGCAGCGCTGCCTGGCCACACTGCTGGGCCAGCTGCAGGATGCCAAGCACCTGCAGCTTTCCTCTGCGGCAGGGAGAGTTGCAGATGCTTGGCTCCACACGGGACATAACCCACTGCAGGAATTAAGTCCATTTATCTTCATCTCAGATTAAAAGGATTGAGAATAAATCCAAGTTTTTCTTAGATGCGTTACGGTCGTTCATGTAAACTAGAGCTACATTCGGTTGCATTCAGCTTGTGCTCTGTTCATCTGTGTTTTTCTTTCCTTTAGAAAGGTGAATGAAAAAAAAAGCAATATTGAACAAATCATTCAACTAAAGATGTAAGCAAGCGAGCAATCTGTTTCACAGAAACCAGAGGAAGCAGTCGTGAAGCAGAGCTAAACGCCCACTTTGAGATAACGTGCTCCTAAAACCAAATCTAGGAGTAGTTTGCAGAATTTCAAAAGGTATTTTCCTTATTAATACATCCTTATTTTAATGCCTTTGGAACACAAACACATTTATAAAAATGTTATTTTTCAGTAATAAAATTTAAATACACATATGTATAAAATAGTAAAACTACACCTGCATATTGCTCCTAGCATTAAAAAAACCAGTAGGAGCTACTGATAAAACATCCGGAGCATGAGCTCCTTAAATGGGAGCAACTTTTGTTTCTGTGAAGTATATTTAGTTTAACCACTTAAAACCTTGTATGAATTCTCATTATCCATAGTTTGAGAGATACTAATGTACTCGAGTTCCATTTTTTAATTCCTTGTACAAAAATGACAAGGAAAATAATGTTATTGTTGAATTACAGCAAATCTAGTTTGCTTTTACGCATCACAGGGTTGGTTGTTTTTTTAGGTTTTTTTTTTTTCCTCTTTTGGTTATTAGGGGTTGGGGAATAGAATATATATTGCATTAGGTAAAAGTGGTGTAAGCAATATGCTTTTACTTCACTCCTAAGAGTCCTGTCTTTAAATCTTGGCAATGGGCAAAAAGTCCCTAACCAAGTACCCAGGTGTAGAAAGTGTGATTAACATCTAACTTGTTGCTTAGGAGGACATAATACACCATGTAACACAACTGAAAAGATCACTCCAATAAAAACAAAACAAAACAAACTGGTAGTTGCAAATTTACATTCATACTTTCTGACTGCACACTAGTTTTGAACTGAAAATAGGTACACACTTTCTGGCTGGACTTGATCCACCCTTTGGCGGTGGCAGCGGGGAGAAGACTGACGCCTACAAACGTGAACACACTACTGGAAGGTTCCTATGCAGTACTCTTTCTATGCTACTAAAGAGAAAAAAACAGCAAGTTAAGAATTCAAACAAAAACTGCGACAAAATATTCTGCATTACTACGTTACAACGCTTTTATATTTCAAGATCAGCCATTAATTTTGCCTGTTTCCCTATACCAGAGTCACAAAAGCACAACAACAGTTTCAAATTCAACTTGAAACATCTGTCATTTAGGCAAGCAGAGATTCTCTGTCGAAATTCTGTTCAGCCCTAATTTTAGAGAATTACACTAATTTTCTTTTTCTTCTGTTATTCATAACAGGCCACCAAAATTTAAGCCAGAAAATGGCAAAATTCTTAACAACTTTTATAATGACTTCAATACAAGTCAAGATGCTATATATATGTACATGTGTATATATGGACTCTATATATACACACACAAGTTTTCAGAAAAATCTGAATTCTATATTTATTTTAAAAATTTAGATTTGTCATTATAGAACAGGTCAGATGTGTCACCATTTGGGAAGAGGATTTGTTTGGAAACAGACTGCAGAATTTTTTTCCCAAATCTCAGGAATCCTTGTGATACATATTTTAAATGGATTATTTGCAAATAGTAGAATATATTAAAAGGTAAAAGTGGCAGTTCTACCACTGACATCAATAAAACAGACTAGCTGGTATGGTTGAAAAAATTTTAAAAACGGGATGAGTGTTGTGAGTTTGCTTGGGATGACTTTCTACTGAACATTTTAAATGTGTAAATTGGCAGTGAAAATGAAAACAATACAATGAGACTGTTTAAAAAAAACCAACAAACCAAAGTAAACACAGCTGAGAATAAACACTTTCAAAACATTTTAAAAAAGTTAATTTAAATTTCTTACTGGCTTCATGAGATTGGTACTGTACAAAAGCAGAGAATTCATAATGTCTTATAGTAGGCACTAAGTTAAAAATGGTCACCTAAGGCATTTCTACAAATAGACAGTTAACAAGCCAGCTTTGTACATCCTATTGGAAAGCTTGATGAAATCGTGGTAGGGTGGTGGTTGTGCTTAGACTGCTTGTGAAAGCTGCTGACAATGAGTGCAGAGACCCAAGACCTATACTATTGCTAGGATCTTGCGGATCCTGGGTTTGTGGTGGGAGTTGAGTCATAGAAGAATGTGCCTCCTCTTGCGTATAACTCATCCCGAGGTTTCCCACTGAAACAGAAGGATTATAGGGAGGGCCATTTACAGGTATGAAGTTGAACAGCTGAGAAAAGTCCAATGATGGGGCATTTAGAGGTTCACTAATAGGAACGGAGCCCTTGGAAAGGGAAACTTCCCCCGACCCATCATCTAGTGGCCCTACTTGTGGATCCAGCCCTAGTTTTGATGAAGATGCTTGAGAATCCTGGGATGAAGAAGGCATACCACTTTGCAACTCCATTAGGTAACTTTCAATTTCCCCTTTCAATGGCTGTTCTTTTTCAGGCATAGAAATTGAGTATGAGGTAGTACCGAGTGGGTATTTCAACGATAGCTGGTGAGAAGGGTGGACAGACTCCATATCTATTGGACAAGGCATTCCCAATGGTAACGATGTGGCAACCATTTGGTGTGCAGATGCAGAACTCTGCATGGACTGAATCTGAGTGTTGTAGAGATTTAATTGCAAAGTGTTTGTAAATGGCTTTGATGTCAGTTCACTGGAAGGTAAAGACATCACTGGAAGCAGCTCATCCTTAATAGGCACAGAAACATTGCAGGTAAAGGGATCTAGAAGGTCCATTGGCTCTGTTTTGACCTTCAGAAGTTCTTGGTTGTGACTTTTCTTCATGTGGCGCGTGAGGTGATCCTTGCGCCCGAATCTCTGTGCACAGTACTGACAGAGGAAGTCCTTTCTTCCAGTGTGCACTACCATGTGTCTGCGGACATCCTTTCGGGTGTAGAACCGACGGTCACAGTGTTCACACTGGTGCTTTTTCTCCTTCACTCCACCTGATGACTTGCCTGCGTGAGTTTTTAGGTGCTCCAGCAGCACTCCTGTGCTTTCAAAAGTCTGCAAACATACCTTACAGGTGAGGTCACCACTTGTTGCAGCATGCAAAGCCAGGTGACGTTTGAACCCAAGCTTGGTATTGTAGTTCTTTCCACATTCTTCACACTTAAAGGCCTCTTTGTTGGGATTGTGTGTATGTAGGTGATTCTTTAGGTGATCTTTTCGGTGAAACATTTTCTCACAATAATTACACTTGTGGGTTTTCTCAGGAGAATGAGTAGCCATATGCCTTTAAACACAGATATATTCTGTAAGTAATTATTTTGATCAAAAAACACATGAGCTCATTTTTTAATGGCAGCTATATACTATGCTAAGGGCTGCTTTGCAACAGTACCTTTTAACTGAAAGCATGACACTACAAAGACAGTTTGACAAATTTAAATATAGCAAAACGCGAGCCATTTCTCTTAAATTGACACTTTAGTTTTGGTGGGTCTTAGCTACGGTAACAGGGGTGTATGGGCAAGTATGAAAGTACTCATGTAAAAGTCCATAGCCAAAGAACTTTCAGTCCATACTCTTTTTCTTGTGACAATTCCTTATACAAATGAAAATTCTACGCTCATTAAAAACAAAACAAAACAAAAACAAAAACAAACAAACGGAAAACAAAAGCAGAAAACAAATTAAGAAACAAAATCAAAGACATTAGCTTGCAAACTTAGGTAATTTAGAATTCTAGAAACAATCCAATAGCTACTTTAATTAACACATCCTCTCTGCAATCAGCTGAAGGCGTACAGAAATATATACTTTTACACGGCTTAACACGGCCAACATAAAATAGATAATATAATCTGAAAGATAAATAGAGTTTAATACCTTAGTAATTTGTACTTAGAAACAAAGGCCTTGGTGCAGTCTTGTTGTGTGCACTTGTAGGGCCTCTCTCCTGTGTGAGAGTATGAGTGAACCTTTAATTTCTCAACACTGTTAAAGGCCTTGTCACACAGTTGGCAAGGAAAGTTTTTTCTTGGTTTGGTTTCACCACGCTTACGTTTCCCTGAAGGGACTTTCTGGGTATCTCTTACTTCTGACAAATCACCAGGAATGACAGTGGCCATCGCAGCCTAAACCAGGCCTTCTTGTTGGACACTTGGGAATTGCCCAACTCCACTAAATGATTTAGCTTTAGATGGCTTCTCAAGTTTCATGTGGTCGTAAAAGAAAGCAAAAGGGGACTGGAAAAAAAAAATAAGAAACAACTAGTTTGTAACTAAACTTAGATTTTGAAGTTTACTTGCTATGTGATGCTTCTGAATAAAACTTAAAAATAAAGTTAGGTTCAGCTGGTCTAACGTAATACCTACAGGTTTCTTTATACTATTTGCTGCAACTCTTAAAATGCATTGCTCAGGATGAACAGATCCACATATGCCCTGAAATCACACCTCACAACTTTCCCCTCAAGCACTGATGGAGAAGAGCAGAGTTTCTCTCAGATTAAGGGAGGCATCAGGCAAAGGCCTACCTACCCAGGCACCTTTTGGCAGCTTCTGATTTCAAAGGAATTACAGCCACGCCTCCGGTGTTTGCACGGACATTCCCCCCCCTCCCAACACACACACAACTATTAAAGCCTGTAAGCCTCAAAATGTTTGAAAACCTGCACAAAACACAGCAGTACCCATGCAGACACTATGGAGGGCAAAGCTCATGTTCCCTATTGGATATACCTCCCTCCCCGTGATTACTGCACATCTACGCATCTACGCTGGGAAAATGCATGCACTGCCAATAATGCCTAACACCAGGTGAAATTCTCCTGTAAACTCACCCTCTACTAACAGAGACTTGATCTATGACTGACAGAAGTCCCATGGATTAGGGTTAGATTAGACAGATCAGGGTTTTATCAGCCCAGTGCTGGAGACCCCCAGCCTTCTCATGCTATCCTGTGAGACACGAAGGCTGTAAGCATTCAGACTCAGGCTAGCTCAGGATGGAAGCTCCAAATCCTGACCCTGTGGCATAGCAAAATGTCAACTAAACCGGAGGCTTTCACTGTCAGAAGTGTGTGACGTGATCCATGTGCCTGACTGTGCGTGAGAAGTTTTAAATTTGTCATCTGGTATCATATAGTGGCAACTGGGCACCTGCTACCACAGGGCACTCAACAGCCCTCCTTTGTCAGGGGTTGCTGACAGCTTCACTTCATCCTTGGAGCACAACTGCTACTATAGATACCAAAATCCTGTGCTACCCAGAGTGGGAAGGGTGGAGCATGAGGTCTGCAGCAGCAGGGACAAGGAGGACAGCAGGACAGCACTCATTGCAAGCATTTTTGAGGGCTGGAAAGCCCCAAAATTTAGCCTTTCTCCCTTGAAACTGCCAGCACCCACCCCCAGCCCCGGTGTCATGGCTGGCAGCTGCTGTCCCCTCCGGTCCCTGCCGGGGCAGCTGCACAGGAGGCGGCCAGGCTGGGCCGGGCTGGGCCGGGCCAGGCGGCACCGGGGCCGGGCAGTGGCCGGGCCAGGGCTCAGCGGCCGGGCAGCGTCTCAGCCCTGGCAGCAGGGCCTGGGAGGCCGCAGCTGCTGGGACAGGTGGAGCTGGGCAGCTGGAGCCGGGCAGGCACCACCAGGCTGCAGCTGCTCCAGCCCAACGCCACCTCCCTGGAAAACAAACCGGGCTCTTCCCTGCTGGCAGTGAGGGAGGCCGGGTAGCTGGGAGGGAGCCCCGGCCTTAGCTGTCCTCTCAGCCCTGCTGGGGCTCAGCAGAGATGGAGGCAGCCAACTGCTCCAGACAGAAGTGGAGAACAGTGCCCAGGTGTGCCGGGGGGAAACTACACGGTCTTTGCAAGTGCCCCAGCATGGTCCTGGAAGAAAGCGAGAAGGAAGGAAAGCCTGTGTTTCCCTCAATGCATGGCAGGACAGGAGAAGCAGGGAGAGGAAGGGATGTGCCTCTTTAATGTCTGCATTATAAGAAATCCTCAGACTTGAGACCTCCGTTTGAAATGTGTATACAGAGATTGTCTTTGTCTAAGCCTTTTCCTCCCTCCTCCCCATTTTCCCTTGTCTTTAGAGGAGGAGAGAAGTACTGGTACACCAAGATGGAAATCTGCTTCCTTTCAACCCTGAAGTCCTTGAATGACAGGTTAAACTATTCTACTTCCTTTAAACTAGCAGTTTTGCAAGACCACCTTATTCCCTTAAATTACATAAGGAAACACTAACTTCTTTAAAAGATACCTCATGAGAGAAAAGGCATTTCTTTAAGGACTCTCTTGATTTCAGATTTGTCACAAACTCATTCCCACTCGTGGGATGAAGCCTGGAGACATCAGTTCCATGAGTGGGAAAATGCACAGGTCTTCAAAGTATCAGCTTAATTTTATTTTCTGTCTCATAATCAACAATCTAGTTCACTAATTCTAGTTTGAAAGCAACAGTTGTTGGGAGATCTAAGAGCAATAATTTTCTTCGATTAAAGTAAATGAAGATCAGTTCCAAAGACTTCAATGAAGCCACCAATGTAATCAAAAGGAGAGTCTGATTCACATCAAAGTTGTGGTATGTCTGTGGATTGAAAGTTTTGGTTTTTTTAATATAGGTTTTAATCAGAATCCATTAATAAAATTAATTTTGTTCTTCTGTTAATGAACACTCTGGTCTTCAGTGAATATTGGCCTGAATGTAGAATGAAATTTTCTTTTAGTTTAATCTCTCTTGACAAATGAAGTTCAGGGGGCAGAAGAAAAATCCAACCTGACCTTGCACAGGGTACTTTTATACCACACAGGCACCTGCATGAGACACCACACAGAGCTGAGAGCAGAGCAGTCACAGCCCTCACTGCATGGCCAGGGCACACCTACAGCCCCAATGGGGTACAAGGGATCCAGCCTCTCTGGCCCCCCAGCCAAATCCGTTCCTAGCCTGAGACAGGGAAGGCAGGATTAGCAGAAAAGCAAGGAAACAGCCTCCACAGTCTGCTGCGTAAGAGTGGCACTGCTTCAGCTCAGCAGCAAGTGGAGTCTGTGCCCAGACAGTGACAAGAGAAGCAGGGACAGCAGGAAAGATACAGGGAAGGAGGATGAGCCAGCACAGGGAGGGAGAGTGCACAGAACCAGGATGGGGGCGTGGGGCTAGGGAGGCTCAGGGAGTGCTGCATAGGCATTGGGAATATCTAAGGACATGAGGATAGGGGTGAGCTGGTAACACTGGGGTGAGTGGGAAGGAACTGAACGTGCATCAAGCTGGGGAGTTGCAGGATATGAGGCCATGCAGAAGGGTGAATCTGATGTGATGTCAATAGCAGCCTTCATTATGAAATAGCATATTAAGCTTAACAAATTAACATCTGACAACTTCTCACTCCTTTTCTCAATGCAAAGATCACACCTCAGGCTGGAGACCATCCTATATTCAGGCCAATATAAGACCACTGTTGTTTTCTCCAAAATTTCAGGTAACCTAGCTGCTGTACCAGTCAGAACATTCACAGAGATGAAAAATTTGGGTTTTGTTCCTCTACGATCAAAACTAATTAAGCTGACTTTGAACTGTGTTTAAGTGTCCTTAAAAATGCATCACTAGAACAAATATAGTGTGGATCCAATCTTTCATAATGATGGAGTTTTATTAAAGAACACGTATGCACTATTATCTCAGAATCACTTCTCAATAGGTGAGGCAATTAAGAATGTCAGTATTGATCTCTGAATAGCAAATAACCACTTTTTTTCCTTTTTATGGATGTGGATATATAGACTGAGCAATGGAGATAAAACTTTAAAAAAACACTGATCCTCAAATATTAAATTTTCCAAAGACCAGCTGAAAGAATTTTATGAGTAATACTGACTGTTTGTGTCTCAACATATTATCACTTAAAATCCACATTCTTACTGGTGCTTTCACAACTGCAGGATGAATGATTATATGCAGTATCAAATATAACAAACACATTACACAAAAGCTTATATATAATACTATTTTTAAAGAAGCATATACTTAAAGAGGATTAAAGCAGCCTTTGTTCAATGCACACCTGATGTTTGCCCACTAAAGTCCTCAGATTTTGGTCTTAACCAGTTCCGCTGACTCTTCTTGGAGGAAACCAGAATCCAGTACTTCCCATTTTTACTGCTCTGAAAAACAAAAGGAACAATGGACTAGACTCCAGCGAAACCAGCGCATTCATAAAGGCTCTGATGCGGCAAGACCAGGGATTGGAAAGAATCAGAAAGGAAAAGTTAAAAGGGACAGATCCAACCCATGCACAGAACATTATATACTGTTAATTATAAACTGTAGGAATCATTCCTGCATTATCAGTAGCAATTATGCACTTCAATTTGCAGTATACTTACATAATTTCAACTAATGCTATGCTGGACAGTGACACATAAAGAGATAAAATTAGACAAAAGCAAAGGAGTTTTCATGTAGTTAAAAAAAATAAAAATCCACAGACCACAAATAATTTAGATGTAACAGCAAAACATGTGAAATGCTGGGCCCAGACTTGAGTTTCTTACTCAGAAAGGACTGAATAAGAGAAGATTCTGGATTAGGCCCAACTTTACTAGAACCTAATGCCTTCATTCTGCTTAATTATACAGGAAATAGCAGCTTAAAAGGTGACCTGCAAAGGAAAATAAAATTAATTTAAAAAAAATAATAAAACCTCTTAATGATGAACATGCTACAGGTAAATCTCAAAGGAGGGCAAGTCTAGGTATGCCTGAGCAAACTGAGAGGGCCTTTTTGGAATTTCCCTTGTATCTCCCTTTCCCCTGCCATCATCCTTTTGTAAATTTGCAGCAGGTCTTCCTTGTCTTGCTAGAAGGCCTCCTGGATGACACAGCTTTACATAAAAAACATGTTCAGTGCCTCATTGTAATGGGGAGGTGTATCCTGTCCAATTCTTCCAGATGTGTAAGGGCAAAGCCCTACACATACCCCACAGCAGGCTGAAGCTGTTTGGCAGGAGCCCTGTGGTAATGTAACATTTCTCCCCCACAAAACATTTTCCCTTCTGGCTTCCCATTCATTCCAGAAATCATTCTTCCTTTTGATACCAAGTTCAGCTCTACACAGCCCCAGCATCCTCTGTTGGTGAGTGTGAATGTGAGCAAACAGGTGTCCCTAAACACCTATTGATGTCAGAAGTGCTTCAGAACAACCGACTGAAGCTCTCTTATGGCTGAGGAACATTTATGTGGGGCTTTGTACATACAGGCAGGTGGCAGAAACAGCTCTAGTACTCAAATAAAAAGCTCTCTTTTCAACTAATGAGCACAACTCTCACCTCCACTTTTTGGGGTTCCCAAATCATCTTGTTTAAGGGAGAAAATGATGATGACTCCTTACCTCCTCTCCCAGCAGACCCTTATAAATCCATTCCCCTTCAATGCCCAAATCAACATCTTCCACCATCATAAAGGAAGAGTTCCATTCCCAGATGTTTCTACTGAGGTACTACTATTGTTAAGAGTTTCTACTAATGTACTACTATTGTTAGGTAGACAATATTAAAGACAGACACATAGATGTAATAGACTACATCCTCATGGACTTAGCTCCTTCACTATTCACATTTACAGACTATTTCCTGTTTGGAAAAAAGACCCCAACAAATCCTGTTAAAATATTATCAAGTCCTCTCAGTGCCATTTAACATTTTCTCTTAAATGTTTATAGTCCTCAATGCTCACCACACATCTAAAGTCACTCTAGCAAAAAGAAGATCACCTCAGGGACAGGCCACTAGAAACATGGAAGGACTATGGAATCAGAGGAAAATGAAGCAGCTGGAACAAGTAAATAAACAAGATAAACACGTGATGTAGCTAAAATGCTGAGGAGAATGAAGGAGGACGGTCAGGTGCTCTCATTCATTCATTCATTACCTTACGAATTCAGCAAAATCACAATGCAGTGGATCCAGGTGAGGGCAATGCTACACCTACAATTAGTGGGATCTCAATTTCTACATGGCCTTTATTATGTAAAGAGCTCAACAATGTACGCACAAAAGGGGCTATGTTTGTATGAATAATGAAAACATTTACTCCATTTGACAGGATTAAGTGAAAAGATAAAATAATTCCTATTTTTGCAACAATAAGCATGCTATTGGATAAAAGACTTTTCCTTATGCACAGAAAACAGAAGTTGTCCATGACAATGCTGATTTCTAGACCAACTTTCTCAGAAGCTTTTGGTGTTAAAAAATATCTGAGGCATAATACTGGACAAAGATGTATCATTCTCCTAGTAACTGCTTATAGTCATAGTGTTACTAAGCTTTTCACATAGATGAGGTAGGAAAAATTTTTAATGAATAACAAAGTTCAAAGTATTCTCCACATGAAGCAGAGAAGCATCACACTGCAAAATGCACTGTCGCATGCATGTGTCCAAAGCCCACTTGGTATAACAAAACACAACTTCTCTAATTTGTCAGAATTCTTACAATTCTTACAATTTACCAGATCTTCCATAATTTGTGAAGCACTAATTTTGCTAAGTCTCCAAACACCCTGATAATTCCAGGTTAGATAATATTTCAATTTCAATTTCAACTAAAAAAAAAGTGCCCCAAAACCCTTAGGTGGAAGATAAATAATATAAAATATAAAATAATATACTCTTTTTTATTATTAAAAAGAGTAACACTTTTTCCCCCAAATTCACAGTTCCTATTCAAAAGTCAGACAGTTACACTTGAAAATATTTTACAACATTTGGTATCTCAACTGAAAGGATCATGAAGACAATACAGAAATATAACCAATAATCCTGCTCCTAACTTGCATTTCATACTTGAGAGGGTTCAAGCACAGTAAAGGAAAACAACAGTTTCATGGTTATTTTCTTTCAAAATAAAAGAGCAATAATGAGAACACAGTACTGAGAACACAGTATTTGTCATTTCACCTTTTATACAAAACAGCAAATCTAGCTTCAATTCCTGAAATCAATCAGTTTTAAACCAAAGGAAGGGTCCTAGAAATATTAGAATCATAGTAATGGTAGAACTCAGTAAGGAGTTAATAGCATTAGCGTCATCGTGGGTTTCAAATATTTCTTTAAGGAAACAAAATGGAAAGTGGTTACTTACCCTACGGAACTGTGATTCTTTAAGCAATGCTGTCCGCACAGATCCCAGGTGAGCACGTACTCACACGGACAGGACCAAGGCCTCTGAAGTCAGTAAGCCATCCAGGCTGTGCCTGTGAACCACCTCAGCTCTGCACAAGGCAAAGGACTCCCCAGCAGGGCCACCACTGCCCCACCTAGCACGGCCAGCAGCAGTGGCAGCTCCCAGCTCTGCCCTTTGCTCACCCCGTGGCACAAACCCAATCCCCTGCACCACTGCTGCCAACGCGCTGGTCTGGCAACCTCCCTCTCCCCTGCTGCTCCCAAACCACTGCTCCCACCTGAGGGGTTTGGGTGCTGATGTGACTTGAGCTGGCAAGGTTTGCTGTGGTTGATGAAGGGGAGCAGGGGCATGGGAGAGCAATACATGGGCAAGAGTTGATGTCCTAGCTGGAATTGTGAAGTTTGGAAAGCTGAAACACTGACTGGCATCCTAGTTGAGGAAGGAAAGAGGATGAACAAATGCAACCCAAGGAAGCAAGGAGTTGATGCTGCTCAGGGTGGTAATGGAGCAAACTAATCTCAGGATGCCCCAGTCCAACCTCTCTCAGGTTTGCCAACAGTAAAGACCCATTCAGAGTAAAGGACAATAGATGACTTCTGGTGCCTCTATTGCCCATGTACCAGAAGAGCCACCATTGCCGTACCATAAGTAATGATTTTTCCTCTTTTCTGTACCAGGTGACTAATAGTCTAAAAAGCACTGACAGGCAGTCACCTGACTAAAAAGTACCTACAAATGAAATCTGCTCTGTTGGAGCAATCAGGGACAGCTGGGGGAGCTGAGCTGGTGAAATCATCAGCAAGAGACAGCTGATCTCATCATTGTGGCTCAGAAGAGCCAAAATGACTATCAGACAGCACCTCCATTTGTAGAGAGGCAGTCACTGGAACAGGTTTCTCAGAGAAGATGTGGATACCTCATCCTTGGAAGTGTTCAAGGGGACAGGTTGGATGGAGCTTTGAGCAGCTTGGTCTAATGGAAGATGTCCCTACCCATGGCATGAGGGCTGGTACTAGATGATCTTTAAAATCCCTTCCAACCCAAACTGTTCTATGACTCCAACTACAAACCCCATCCCTGTTCAGCTGGAGCTCTTAAAATGGCACAAATGTTGCCAGAGCTCCTGAAGATGAAAGAACCTAGCCCTACAATAAGGTGACAAAAGAAGGAGGACCATGTAGGCGTCTCTGGCTTTCCCTGTGCTGTGAGCTTACACACAAGCCTCTCACCAGGCAGTTCCATTTTGTGGGGGAGCAGATTTAATCCTCCTGCTGATTTAGCTGCCAGAAGGGGCTGAGGGTAGAAGTGGCAAAGTGCCTGCACTGCTCCAGGACAGCATGCTGGGACCTGCTGCCCTGCAAGGCTCAGACACCCTTCCTGGATCAACAAGGACCAACGTGCCTACTGCACACTTGTACAGGCCTCACAGAGAGAGCAGGAGGTCTGACCGGCTCCGTAGAAAAACACTTGTAGAAAAATTTTTTGCAGCAGACACTTCAACTCAGAGTAGCTGCAGGCAGCAGAAGATCCAACTTCCCACCTATGACTTTCAGAGAGAGAATTAGAGAGAATTCTCCCTCTTAGAATTAACTTTCCACAAGGGAGGATCTCAGATGGAGAAGCTGATCCCACCAATGGAAACAGTCAAGCAGGTAAGAAAAATCCATGCAAAGATGTTGAAGTATTGATGCTTCAACCTATTTAGGGTGCCTTTCTCCACACTGAATTAAAATCAAGTCTTCTGACTGATTCAGGGGTCTACCTGCCTGCTTGTGCTCGGCAGGCCATTTGACCTGCATTTATTTGAACAGCATGTCACTTTTTAAAAGGGACAGCTGAGGGAGCCTGCTCACCTTTGCTCATACTTAGAAAGAGAATCCTGGCTTTGGTAGGAAGATGCTGATCCTCTCCCATCTGGTCTTGGCTGAATAGGGGTGGAGAGGGAAAGGGTCAACAAAGGTCTCTCTGTGCTTCTACATC